ACTTGTATTTTATTTCACTATTAATTCATTTCAGAACTGTAGTAAAACTAAATTTGTACTAGAGAGCTAAAAATTGGTATATGGGTAAAAAATGAAAAAACAATTATCTTTTCTCTTTACCGATTTTCGAAATTTCGAGCAATAACGGCTTTTCTGAACATTTTTTGGAAAAAATGTCAAATTTGACAGGGAAGAAAAATCACTTGATCGGTCATATGCATGTCATTTGGCATCATTTATAAAGCACAACCTAATGGAGATATCAAAAGTTGCTTGAAGAGATGAACAAAAAAAATCCCATTTGATGCAGACTTTATGTGTAACACTGTATATTACTGGAGTTTTTTCCCAACTCCCAAGCGTTATTTTAACACCTCGACACGTGTTTCGATCACCAAGTGATCATCTTCAAGAAGAAGATCAAACTGCATTTTAACATCCAGTACGAACATCTAGATTTTGGACAAGAGGGGATTTTGGTGAATGTTTTGTTTTGAGTACCTATAAAAAATAAAGTTCCCTGCTGAAAAGACATCAGAACTGGAATCTCCTATTCTGCTTGGTCTGGATCTATACAAAAGCCAGGATTGGAACTCAAGTAGTCAATGTTAACCAAGTCACCTCAACAATTTATTATGAATTAGTTTAAAGTCGAAAGTCTTACTATAATATTCAGTAAACATTTTTGTATTTATGTATTATGTAACTGGTACATGCATCATCACTCTCTCTTTTTTTTAGATGATAAATGTTTATCATTCATTACTGCCAAAAATTTTGGAAATAATCAATAGTTCCGCCCAAGAGGAAGAGAAGAAAACATGTGACATGCTAGAAATAATAGAGGAACTTATAGAATTTGCGGTATCTGTTGTAGTACCGCATGTTAGACTCTTGATAGAAATGTGCCTTCAACTAGCTAGTAATAATTCTATGCCTAAAAGTATTCAAATCAAATCTATAAGTGTTGTTGGCTGGCTGATTCGTTCCAAGGGAAAGGTTAGTATAGAACAAAAAAAACTATTCATTCTAAATGAGTACCTATATTTAACAAACACTAAGCCTTTGGACACATGTTCCAAAATGTTTCATTAACCTATATGTTTACCAAAAAAGTTATGTTTTTATTTAATTAGATGTAAATATAACATGACAGCTATGAACGATTACTGGCGCCATTTAAAGATGTCGGTCAGTCGGGTTATCAATTTATTATACCCAGTCTGCCAAAATTGGTTTCTGGCAGCTTGGAAACCGTCACGTTTGTCCTCATGGGCTCTATGAGATTTTCGTCTGCTGTTCTCATGATACCCAACACATTTGTTTCATTTAGATTGGGTAAAATAACGACCTTTGGTTTTGGAAATATCGAATTTATTCCATACTTTGCGAACACACTGTATAGTGGCTACCACATAAAACTATATGCTATCTCAGACTAGTGATGATAAAATTAATCTTGTCATGGTTATTCAACTCAAAAATAATAATAATAATAATAATAATATTTATTCACACACAAGGATAATAGTACAAGGATAATAGTACAAAATTGTAATTTGAAAACAAATTTCTAAAACTAACGGTGAATAAATTTACAGCTTACGAAGTACAAGTACTTGTTTGTAAGTTTTAAAAGAAACACATAAGACATTACTAATTGAAACGAAATATACATACACAGAGTGTATNCTGTAATTTGTCACTTCACTCCTCTCGCCATTTTTATAGATTGGTTTAACAATCGATAGTTTGAAAGTTTCAGGAAAGACACCCTTTTCTAATGATTTATTGATAATAAATGTTAGTGGTAGTACAATGGCGTCGCACATTAAAACCAATGTTTCTGCAGTTATACCATCATGTCCAGGTGATTTTTTGAATTTCAATTCATTTATTATGTTTTTCACTTCAATCGGGTCTGTGGGGGCGAGAAAGAGGGAGTGACAACTTACAGTTTTCTTTTCTTTATAATTACTGGGTCTATTTATTGAACTTGATAATTGTTTTCCTACATTAATGAAAAATTCATTGAAGGTTTCGGCAATTTTTTTGGTTTCGGTTATCATTTGACCATTTTTGTCTTTCACTTCATTGATTTCTTCATTATTATCTGGTTTGCCGACTATCTCGTTAACGGTTTTCCATAATTTTTTTGATGAGTTTTGTTCTTTTTCAACCAGTTTTCCGTAAAATGCCTTTTTTGCCTCTAAAATTGATATTTCGACCTGTTTTTTGTGATCTCGGTACTCTTTTTTCAGTGTGTCATTATTTGGATCTTTTTTGATTTTTTGATAAATGTGATTTTTTTTGTTAATCATTTCAATCAAGGAATTAGTGATCCATTTTTTTCGTTTTCTTTCATCATTTTTAATTTTAATGTATTTTGTAGCTTTTTGAACGCATTCTTTTATCATAACAACTAGTCTATTTCATACAGTCTCCAGATCTTGTTCCAGCAGGAGATCATTCCACTTCGTTTCTTGCATTACCTTTATCAATTTATTTTTATCAATTTGTTGAAAGTATTTATTTCTGTTTGTGAAGTTTTTACCGTATAATGGTCGGTAAGTGAACTTTCAACGGTTATCGGCAAGATAGTGTCATACATATTTTGTTTTGAATGAATAAATATATGGTCTAGACATGATCTTGCATTTTTTTGAACTCTGGTTGGAGTGTTTATCGCTGATCGAAAACCAAGTTCACTTAATGTGTCTAAATAATTTCTTGTTTCTATACTGTCTATCATCAAATCGAAGTTGATATATCTCCTATGAAAATGTTATAGTCATAATTTTCAGTCTGTGTTTTCAGTATATCATTCAGTTTGTCTATAAAAGTCTCTATATCACTTGCTGGTGATCTGTAGAATGCATTTATTATTAAAGTATTGTTTTGTGAAATAGTTTTAATTCTCAAGAGAAAGCTACCATTCAGGGCTATAATTTTATGGGAGTGATAGATATCTGATCTAATAAACGCAACTACTCCATCATTCTGGTTGTAAATGCCTGAGTTATACAGTGTTTTATAACCATGTATATTATAAATTGTTATATCAGGAATGTACCACGTTTCAGTCAAGATACAATCGAAAATTATGTCAAGACCCTCAACAAATATTTTGAACTCATCCAAATTACTAGCTATGCTGCGTATATTGTTATGGATTATTTTACAGTTAGGACTACTATCGTTTATTCTTAACATTTCTGTAGTGTCCTTCGAGCTTATCAACGGATATGTTTGCAGTTTTTCTACTTGAAAATCTCGAATGTACACGTCCATTTCTTTTAGTAAGTGACAATGAAATTTGGTACTGGTGGTCTTAGCAAAGTATTTGATTAATTTATTAGGATTTTTGTACGAAATATGTTCCAGTATTGAGTTTTTTGTTTTTTTTGTTTGTTTCTTATTTATTTTAGACTATGAGCTCAAACCACATTTGTTCACGGGTTCATTCTACTTTTCAAAGTACGGTATTCTGGTTTCGGTATATCCAGGGAATTCTGCTTTGGGAAATTTTCTGCTTGCTGCTGCTCGGACTCAGCTTTTCTCTTGTTGTTTTGGGCACCTCTTCTTCTTTCTTGTTCTGATTTCTCTAAGTTTTCAGTGTCAATTTTTTTCTGGGTTTCTTGTTTTTCAATCAGGTCTTTATATACGAATGCTTCTCCTTCAACGAATAACTTATCTCGAAATATATGGGCCTTCTTGTTAGGTTCTTTTGCAATTTTCATGTGTTGGACTAAAATTTTCTTTTCTTTTCTCTCTTCAAAAAATAGGTCTTCTGTTATTACAATTTTGGTACCCTTTAACTTCTTACAATTTTGTAGTATCTTCTGTTTTGTTAAATTTGAGATAAATCTAATTAATAAGCACTTTGAGGTGGCTTCCTTGTGTTTTCCTATAAAATATATATCATCAATATCGGAATCTGTCAACTCTATTTGCAAGTGCGAATTTATTAGTCTTTCAGTAAATTCCAGTGGGTTCCCTCTCGCATACCTCGAGTTATGTATTACAATATTGTTTTTTCTTTTGATTTTTTCGAGGATACGATTTTTTATCTTAAGTTCTTCTATTTCAGCTTCTAGTACTTTAACCCTTTCAGATTCTCTATGGATGATTTGTTTAATTTCTTCGGAATTATTGGCGACTTCTTTTATCTGGTACTGGCGCATATCACCAGTACTAATTCAACTGGTAGAAATAATTTCTGATAGTGAGTAAAGTTACTTACTGCGTTCTAATTACGAATATGTATATTATTTATTCAAATCTTCTTCTGGAGTATACGCATTGGTAGTTCGTATGGTATTGACTTCACTTCCTTCACTAATTTATTTTACTTTTGTTCCGCTTGAAATTCACTTTATTCAAGACAACGTGGCGGTCGTACTTCTATCATTCATGGAATGGTAGAAGTACGACTAAGATGTTATACTAGATATTGCCGAGAGCTTCATTTACATAGAAGGTAAATTCACCCCCAAAGATGTAGCGAAAACATGCTATCTCTCGAATGATAATGTGGGACCTCTATGAACTACCATCATTACGTGGGACTTCTTCAGACATATGGGCCATCAAAACAACTAACGCTCTGGAAACTCCTCGTTTTGTCATCATCGCATTCCAAAGTACTACCACATCCGAACAGCGCGATGTTGAATAGCGCGAGTCACCCCCAACATGAAACCGTGAAAGGTTCACATTGCTAGTTGCTACCCACTAGAGATGCCTGACGTCACAGTCAAGCCCACCTCCCAACTGGATGCGATAACAGATGTCGATACCAACAGACAGTGGTCGTTGTGCTCTTGGAGAGGGCAGACGTTAGCACAATCCTCGACCGCCTGCATGTCACCATCGATAGCGAGGCTAGAGCGATGCGTTACGTCACAGCCTTCACTGAATCGAGAGAGAGGTGAGGGCAGACCGATGAATACGAATTACTCAGCCAGACGTCGTGAAGTGAACATCTTGCTCTCTTACCGTTGAACGGTTGCTGCTGCTGTGACGTCACAGCATGTTGAAAGTGTAGTATGTAGACGTACTAACTTGGTGGGCTCTCACCGATGGAACATTCATTACTTGGAGGATCTGCGAAGTATGCAGACGTATGTTTGAACATAGACAAGCACATGATGAAACCCTGTACCGTGCATTCTCACACACACAAACACACATAAACACACACACACACACACAAAATCTCATATGAAAAAAAAATCTGAATGATCCATGAACCAGACACTTCAAGGTCACATCGCCTTGACTTCACTAAACAACAAAAAAAAGCAATTAATACGTCACAGTGGTGAGGGAAGACTTAGAACCGAAAAAAAAAATTCTGAACGATCCATGCACCAGACACTTTAAGGTCACATCACCTTGACTTCACTAAACAACAACAAAAAAAGCAATCAATACGTCATAGTGGTGGGGGGAGGCTTAAAATCGGCTCAAATCTTGTACTGGGGGAGATGAATAATTCGAGATTTTATTTAGATATATTCATTTTCTAAAACTTATAGTCATTGTATATAACACTTTTTCATGGTATCCAAGCTTCAGGTAATCATTTGGATGAAAGTTTTGTATTTACAGTCGAAAACCTTCCACTAAACAAGACTGGTGAATTGAAGTACCGGTTGTCAACAAATGTATTAGAAGAGTCATAACTTCTAGGTACCGAAATGAAATTTGGTATAGGTGAATTGAACATGAGAAAGAGTTATTTTGTATATTTTTCACTTTCTGGTCACTATGAATGGCTTCGACTATGGCTTCACATTTTTCAGTTCATACGTCTACTCACAATTTTTTTTGGAATCAGTTATATTGCATCAAGGTAGCCAGGATCAAACAAAAATTGATCCAAGGGCCTCAGGTGATGTCAGAAAATTATAATCGCAAACTTTCAGGTACTACTATGACCACTATATTAAATTACCTTTTCTTGACTAACACTTTTCAAAATAAAAGTTTTTTAAATTTGAAAATACTAATTTATTTGCGATTTAATCAAAAATTAGAACATGAATCGAATATTACTGAGGAGAATACGAAATGATTGTCAACGTTTCTTGGTGAATAATACATGTTAGGACTTTTCGGAAACACAAATGAAATCAAATCAAATACAATGATACAATCATACGTCAGTCCAGTTGGTAGGAACGCTGATTTGTTAAGAAAACAAATTATTATGACTTGAAATGAAAATGAGTTTGATAACCTGCTAAATATTGAATGAGACGTCAATTATATACGAACAACTAAAAAAGTGAAATAAAAATACACTAAAATGACGATTCATGACGTTTCGATTGTTATTATCAGCAAACGTTTCCTGATCCAGATATCTCTGGAACTTTTGCCTCTCCCCAATCTGTTCTCACTTTCTGGTTCAATGTTATGTAGATTGTTTTCCAGCTTGATTGAAGATTTTGTTATCTTACATATATCCACAGCAGCTTGGCTGAATGTGTTTTTTGTCAACACGTTCTGGAACGTCTTTGAACTTCCTCTTGAACAGTGATTATTCGTGTAGTTGAACCATTCTTACTGATGCTTCGCTATACTCGATTCACTGATTTCTCCTCTAATTGATCGTGCATTCAGGCTTTGTGACACGAAGGAAAGTATCGACAAGGAACTATACTACATTAGGAAAGATCTCCAGCAGAATAATTACTCCAGAAATCTTCCCCATTCGAAGAACTGTCAGAGCGGATAAAAAAATTCGAGTTCAAATACAATATTAGAACCTTCTTTCAAATACAATATTAGAACCTTCTTCAGATCCGGGAACACCATTAGTAGCAGCCTCACATAAACCAAACCACCAAACGCGGACTGTTGTTCCATTGATTGTATATAACAGATACTATAAGAGTGTGGTAAACCAAGAGGCCGTTTGAAATATGTATTCGCAAGCACAAGAAAAAACCCAGCGATGAAAAACCAGCAATAGTGGGAGAAGTGGATATTGTTTGGACTCGTCAACATACCATCAACTGGTTCAAAGCTGCGATAATCCACAGGGAGGAACACTAGTTTGAGAGAAAGTTCAAAGAAGCTGCATACATGTATACAAACGACACTTTCAGCCAAGCTAGTGTGGAGATGAGCAACATATGGAATATTCAAATCGAGCGGCAACACACAATACTTGCGGGAGAAAGAGGAGACCGGGGAGATGTAAAAACACCCGAGTAATCTATAAATAGTCTCGACTATCAGGAATAGTCAAGTTATCATTCGAAAACAGTTGTTGAAAACAGCTATCAATCGAAAGATCATGGAATTACTCAGTTTGAAATCTCCTCATCATTTCAATTTTTTTGGTATTTTTTCATTATTTATCTTGATTTATTTTTTCAACTGTATTTTTATTCCACTCTCAATTGTTTATCAATTCATTTTCATTTCAAGTTACGATAGTTTCTTTACAAATTAGGGTTATCACAGTTTTTTGATTTTTGCATTTACTTTTGTAACAAACTCAACCGAATATTTCGTTACGATTAATTACAGTAATTAGGTATTTTCAGAAATTTAAACATTCAATTCAATTTCATATCATTTGTTCTTCGTTTGAAATCCAGCGAATACAAAATATTCCGCTGTTCTTTTTGAGTTCAGATAGTTTTCTCATGTATTTCTTAGATTGAAATACTCATCGAAATATTTATCGGAGAGACGTTCACTTACTCTGAGCGTTGGATGATGTTAAATTCAAAGAGATTGGATCCATTATGGAGCAAAAAACTGCGGCAATTGAAAAATTTTCATCACAGAATCTTGATTTTGATCTGAATCTGAAGACACTCACAGAAAAGAATGACGAATGAATCAATTTGACAATCTTATTAGTCAATGGGCTATGCTTGAAGACTGGCAATAAACAAATCTAAAGCAAATGGAACTTCAAACGTTCAAGCCAGTCTCTATATACCTACACAGTAGGTTTAATGGACTGACGCCTATCAGAAAACAATTACTCCCCTGGCTAATACCACGAAGGGCGTTGGATTATATCAGACAGGCGTCAGTGCAGGAATCATTTTCTGTGAAGATTCCTGCACTGACGCCTGTCTGATATAATCCAACGCCCTTCGTGGTATTAGCCAGGGAAGTAGTTGTTTTCTGATAGGCGTCAGTCCATTAAACCTACTGTGTAGGTATATAGAGACTGGCTTGAACGTTTGAAGTTCCATTTGCTTTAGATCAATTTGACAATATTTACAAATGCTCCTGTTTAAAAAATTGCAGTCATCTCTTCAATTGGGGTTTGAATTTTTTCCACGATCAAATGAATCATTCAATTTTCCGTATAAAACTAACCGAATTTTGCCTCTACCTCCAGTTCAAACGCAAAT